CTTTTTTTTTTACAAACTCTCTTTTTATCTTGTTTCAGAGTTTTTCAGTCAAATTGTGAACTTTACATATGAGTTCAGAGATGCACCGTTGTTTAATATCTGGGTTGGACCAATTCCATTTGTTGTCCTCTTCCATGCTGAAACAGTTGAGGTATGTTCACAGAAGAATTAATTACACAGGTGCATCAGAGTAAATTAGGCAATTGTAAAAACAAAATTTAAAAGCTGAAATTTAGATATTACATATGGTGTCTTGCAAAAGCGTTCAAGCCCTTTGAACTTTTCGAACTTTTGCCACATTTCAGGTTTCAAATTTAATTATATAAAACTGTGTTTTTTGTGAAGAAACAAGTGGGACACGATCATGAAGTAGAACGAAATTTATAGGGTATTTTAAATTTTTTCAAGTCATAAAACACTGAACAGTGGGGTGTGCAATTTAATCAGCCCTTTTATTTTCAGTGCAGCAAACACTCTAGAAGTTCACTGAGGATCTTTGGATGACCCAATGTTGACCTAAATGACTGATGATGATAAATAGAATCCACCTGTTTGTAATCAAATCTCTGTATAAATGCACCTGCTCTGTGATAGCCTCAAAAGTAATTTTAAAGTGCAGAGAGCATCATGAAGAACAAGGAGAACACCAGGAAGGTCTGAGATATTGTCGTGGAGAAGTTTAAAGTCCAATTTGGATACAAAAATATTTCACAAGCTTTAAACATCCCAAGAAGCACTGTGCAAGCAGTATTATTTAAATAGGTGTATCAGACCACTGCAAATCTATAAAGACCCAGCCATCCCTCTAAATTTCAGCTCAAACAAGGAGAACACTGTTCAGAGATGCAGCCAAGAGGCCCATGATCAGTCTGGATGGTACTCTGGTAGGATGAAACCAAAGTCAAACTTTTTGACAACAACGCAAAATTGTTTGGCCATTCATCTGTGAAGGGAAAACCTCCCCCAGCGTGCCAGAAACCAGCTAATGTGAGCGGTTACAATAGTCAAGCCTTGAAGTAACACCAAGATTATTTACTTTATTATCTGAAATCAGATTAATCCCTTCCAAATGAAGTGACTGACTAATCAGCTTCTTTTTCAAAGAATCTGGTCCAAAGACTATAACTTCTGTGTTGTCTACATTCAGAAGCAGAAAGTTAAGAGTCATCCAGGTTTTTAGGTCTTCAAGACATGCCTGTAATCTATGTAATGGGTTA